TTAATTAGGTACTTTTTTCCATTACAGTAATCTCCTAATGAAGTTATGGAGCAAACTTTAGCCTTAGCAAAGTTGGGCAAGTTATTTATACTGTGAAAGATAGCTGAAGGATAACTGTTTTCAACTGAGACCAGAAGACATAGTAGTTAGCATTTATTTTCATAATCTTAAAAAGGCATAAAATGTCGGTAGGAGGCAGTAGTTATAGTGACACTAAGGGAGGTGGTAGATTGGGAGCATTTGATCGGCACTCCGGGAGAATAGAGAGAAAAGGCAGTATCAAGAGAATTCATCACTACAGTTGCCTGGATGCTGTTGCCTTCTTTGCTCACCCTTGAAGGTCAGTCTGGTTCTGGCCCAGGCCCAAGATCTAAGTTTCAGATCATGGCAGGCTTAGGAGAACAGTGCAGACTGGAACATCTAATCCCACCCCAGCTTGCCCTAAGATGGCCCCTGAATTTGTTCAGCTCCTGGGCCTGCTGCCGTCCTAACTTGCCTGAAACTGTTTTCCAGAAAATTAGAGCAGAAATGAGCAATGCCACGTTAGCTTCAGTTTTGATTTTGGGTGTTACCACATAATTTTTTTAAAAAAAGAATTTTCATCTTCCCCGCATACCAACTTTTAGAACAGACGGCTTAAAATGTCTTAGAGGAAATGAGTTGTAATCAGCAGATGAGAGTGTGTCTCCATGTTTTCGTGACACAGGTAGCTATCACACCTTAAGTACCTACCTGCTACATGTGAACTGGCACCAGGCGTTATAGTTTTTCTGTTGCATTTTCATCCAGAGGGTTATGATGGGCTTCGTTAAAATGATTTGGTACACATGTGGGCATTTGCCCGCAAGTATTACCTCTGTGAAGAGGTAAACTTTATAGGCTTCAAGGTGGCTTTCTGCTGAGGTGGCTGCCAGCCTCCCTGGAGAAGGTGTCAGCTGAAGACGTCAAGTAAGAGCCACAGTGAAGCTCATATGCCTTGACCTCTTTTCAGATCCTGGCAAAAGGCCAGCTGAGGAGTACTGCTGCAGTCAGGAGCTCGGGGAGTTGGCGGATTGCCCAGATAACGGGCCGTACTGTCATTTACAACGCAATGGCTTTTATAGATTTCTAGTAACCCATACTCCTACTTATTTGAACCCTATGATTTCTGGGAGAAAAAGCCAGATAACTTTCCCATTGGAATAAAACCAAAACAAACACTGTAATGAGGTTCACAGGATCTATATTGAACGTCTTTTCAAAGTATTTCGTACTTATTTCAGTCAATATCCTTTGCATGATCGTGTGTCCATAACGCACATGCCTCAGGAGTCTTAAGATGCTCCTTGTTCCTCTAGACACCTTTGAGGATACCCTCATTCCAACATGCCTAGAGTCGTGTAATGTCTGTAATTGCCTCATTAACTCCCACCCTGAGTTCTCTGAATCTGGTTTTCTCAAATATGATAAGGAGACTGTCACTTAATGTGAGAGGTGTCAGAATTGTCTTTTTTTCTTTTTTTTTTTTTTGAGACGCAGTCTCGCACTGTCACCCCGACTGGAGTACAATGGCGTGATCTCAGCTCACTGCAACCTTGGCCTCCTGGGTTCAAGCAATTCTCCTGCTTCAGCCTCCCCAGTAGCTGGGATTACAAGCGTCCGCCACCATGCCCAGGTAATTTTTTGTATTTTTAGTAGAGATAGGGTTTCACTATGTTGGCCAGGCTGGTCTCGAACTCCTGACCTCATTATCTGCCCACCTTGGCCTCCCAAAGTGCTGGGATTACAGGTATGAGCCACCGCGCCCGGCCAAGGTGTCAGAATTTTCAAAGGAAAAATGTAATATTGATAAACTGAGTAAAATATGATTACCATATAATGTCATCTTAAGATGTTCTTGTAGCTTAAAACTTGTATAAACAAAATTGGTATTTATACATGTGTCCTGTTAATGCACACGAGAGTAGATTGGAACCTATATCCAGAGTATTTTTTCTTGTGCCTTGAAAAATCAACTTAAAAATAAGGTATTTCAAAATTTGGTTTCTAAATACATTTCAATAAAGTTTGTTATTATTCTTTTTCTTTTAAAATTACATTTTTATAAATAATAAAATTTTAATTGTACTCCAGGTAACTATTAATAAATATCCAGAATCCTTAAGGTTTATTTTAATTAAAATGTTTAGGTCTAATGCATTAGTAAATTGAAATCTGGATATAGGAATTGCCTAAGATCTTTACTTTGTTTTACAAAACAATAAAAAAAAAAGTAATACCAACTCTATAACATCTAAATCTCTAATAATGTATATGTAATATATTATTAGTGGTAATGTTATTTTTTGAGTTTAAGAGTATATTTAGTTTTATAGAACAATAAAATATTTTTGTATAGAATATTCAGGGAAAAAATAGAGAAGGAA